TAAGCGTAAGTGAAGCGAAATAGATACAAATTGCCGTGGTTGTAAACACAACGTTTCCTCGAAGTTTTTTTCCTTTTGAAAGCGTAAATTCGCATGAAAGAGCTCAGCTTGCACAAAATAATATAAAATGAAACGAATCAAATCGAAAAGTGGTAAAAAAAGTCAGGATATTTCAATTAAATGGAAAGTAAGTGATTGGGTAGGTGATTTGCATACTGATAAAAATAACGTCTAGCGTAGTTCAAAACCGTTCGGCTTCCTGAATTGTTTTGCTGGAATTCTATACATTCTGCTGGCCTAAATCGTTAAAATATGTTATGAAGTCAAAATATTTATCAAGTTGAGCGTTTGCATTTCCTTATAAAACAGAGAGTAGCGCGAAAGCTTCGATCTATAGATTTTCTTAAGTTAAATTACCTTTGTATCGTGGAAACAATACCCTAACACTTGAGTCTTGAATCAAAGAACGCGACATGCGTCGGCTCCCTTTGTGAGCGCGCAAATAGTCATGGGACCCGCGATTTTGCGGGCGACACGGATCTACAGGCGCCGTTCCGTAATGCATAACTTCCATGTAGCACTCCTTATTAGTATGGTACTTGGACAAATATAATAGAATTGGTGGGCCTAGCTAGGGATCTGTATGAAATACATCAAACACTTACATCTAAAAGTTTTTGCTTTCCTTTTTTAGGAGGCTTTAGAGCTCTCCTCTCTGAAACCTGAACTTGACAAGAGAGGTATAAACCTTGTGGGGATAGTTCATGAAGAAAAAGGTGTGAAGAAGTTTCAGCCATATCTAAACTCTCCGATATACTTGGATGAAGAGGTACAACACATAGCAGGATAACATTATGCACTTGCTAAAGGCACAACATTATCACATTACTTTGTGTTTAGAGTGGGAAACTTTAAGGAATTTCTACAGTTTAATTGTGAATGAGCAGTTGATGTTATTAGATAATGTAAACATCAATGCATTCCAAACTCTAAATCTACTCTTCCTTGGCAACTATGATCATTGGGTGTGTCCCTATCCGGATCAGGATTTATGATCCAAGATCACGGCAGGGGGTCACGGTGCATCAAAGGAACCATTGTGTCCTTTTGCACATGGGATTCATTGGTTTCTTTGATGCACTAATAATGATGCAAGTAATCTTGGATGATAAATCCTGAACTGGATCATCCCAAAGGAATGCACTCTTAATTCCCCCACCTGTTTAAAACATTAGTGATTAAGCCCTGACTAGAATAATAATTATTTTTTGAAGCTCCTTTACGCTAAACTAAGAGGACCACGAGAGTCATCACGTTAACTAACTCTTGCTTGATGTTAAACTTTGTAAGTCCCAATATCTGCATACAAATTTGTCAGAGTGAAGAATAAGGTGAGAGACTGATAGAAGATTAAAGCAATTTCCCTTAGTTGATCATTTTATTAATTCTCATTATCTTTTTTCTTGATGATGCATTGATATTTTTAGGAGAAAGTTCATATTGGTCACCCATGGGACAAATAGTTCTCCAAACTATTTGACCCTGGATTATAATATTCAGTTACATACCCAGGGCCACCTGGTTCAAAGGACAATCAGATCTCAAAACTGATTATGCAATGGACATTTTTCAGGGGCACCCAACGAGAATATAGTTCAAAAGCACTTAAACGTAGCATTGTTAAATGTATTTTAGTATTAAGACGGTAGATATAGACATATTTTTGTCCCCCCAAAATTTTTCATCTGTTCGGATTTCCTAGCTGAAAGTCTAGTGATTCGAAAATTATAGGGATCAAAACTTACCTATTCGAAAATTTCAGCCAGAAAAAAGGCTCCCGAAAATTGTAGGTGACCTTTTTAGGGTAAAAATCTAATAAAAATGGGCAATTATACCATTTTTCAGATGTTTGAAAATCCTAGGAGAGGCAGACAAGCAAGAAATTTTGGAAAAAATGTTCCGAAAATTCTAGATCTCAAATCGTCTTCCGAACAGATATTTTCCGAAAATTGTTGTTGGGTGCCCCTGATTTTTGTTGTGTCTGTGTTCTTGAGATGGTTGTTGATGGTTTTTTGCTTTCGTTTTTTTTTATCAGAGAAAATTTTATGGTCCAGAGCAGAGATGGATGCTTACTAGTGGTAAGAAAACAATATTATTTTGTCAAAACAATTTATTTAGCCATAAAACTAAGTACAAGATGTGCAGTGTTACATCCTTCAGAGTGATCTCCCATGAAATAGCACAGTTATTCATGGCAGCAAGAAAAGGTTTTAAAGTACATTTGATTGTAGCAATGCAATTTGTAATCATTTTTTTAAAATGTGAAGACGTTACAACATTAAGGTAAAGTAACTTTAGCCTGTGAACGAAGCCTGCGTTCAGAGGTCTCCCATTTCCTCATTACCCAAAGTCTTGGGAAACCAGAACACGATGAGCAATTCTTGGTTTCCGACTACGTGACAAGGCGGCCATGTTGGGGGTCAAAACAACAGAATTTTTGTCGAAGAATTTACATGAAAATAGAGTTAATTTCCAGAGGAGAAAAATGGCCGCCTTGACATCATGTAGAAACCAGCAATGGTGTTATGCAGACGTCCATTTTCCTCATGCCACATGGGAAATAGGAGAGGTCTGCTCGCAGGCTACTGCATGTGAATGCAGCCATATTTCCGGTTGTCGCTTCTCACCACACTTCTCTCGGCGTGTGAAACAAAAGCCAAAAAAGGGGACTGTTCACTCAGGCTAGGTTAAGCGGCTATGCTCACACTTATACTGTATTGCTTTTCGTGCCAACACGAAAATCTATCTAGCCTGTGTACAGACCCCTCCCTCCCCTCAGGTTTTTTTTCTGAGGGGAGGGGGGAGGGGGTCTGTACGCTGGCTAAAATCTATCCGGTATAGTGTGTACACCTAACTGATATGTGACTCTCCACTTTAGAGATCGGTGTGGTGCCGTCAACAGAAGCTCTATCCAGTATGATTTTCATGCTGGTGCCGGCAAAAGCCTACCCTGGGTACCGGAGGTTTTTTCTCGAGCGCGTCGGGGAGCTTCGTTTTGTCGGCCGAAGGCCGTTGACACGAGCGGCGCGGGTCACTTTTTAAGACTTGACCGAAACCGGAAACCGCGCATGAAAAGCCTCTGGCACCCAGGGTAGCAAAAGCCATCCGGTACAGTGTGAACTTAGCCTAAAGTTAACATACGATCAGACGTTCTTTTTTGCGGAGGGTGGGGAAAGGCCTATCAAACAAAAAAGGAAAAAGACCGCTTGATCGCAGGTAAGGTTAAACTAGGTGTATGTTATTGCATTTGAATCTGATTTCTTTGCAGGATTTTTTCGCATCGGTGTTTGGAAGGCAGGCCTCCGAGCTTTGCGCAAAGATATTGTATGGGATCTTAAAGGAGAAGGCCGGATTTTAGGTGGTGTTTTTGTAATTGGACCTGGAGAACAAGGAATTCTACTTGATCACGTAGCTAAGGACTTTGGCGATGAAGTTGATCCAAGAGATGTTATGACTGCTGTTGAGAAAATTAATAACTATAGTACGGAAAAATCTCAGTTGTAATCGGATGTCCTTATAGACACTTAAAGGGGCTATGCCATGAGGACATTGCTGTTTTTTAATCTGTTCTGAAGTTATCACTTAGTTCTTTATCCATGCACAAAATGCTCCAGTTTTGTGTAGAAGATATCAAACAAGTTTCATCAGGGAGCGCTAACCATAGTTATTTTTTTGGTGAATTTTGCAGGCTGAGCATGTAATCTTGGGGAAAAAAAATGCTCAACTTTTTCAAGTTTTAATCCATGTTCATCTTTTCCATTTGTTGCAAGAGACGACAGGATAACAAAACTGGAGCATTATTTTTGGAATTCAATTAATGGGAAGACACGTCTTAGCGGTTTACGTTGGTTTCGATACAAGTTTATTCAGTTTAGGCGTAACTGACTTGAACTATATACTTAAAATTATCGAAATTGAGTTCGTATCGAAACGACTTTGTATCGAAATGACTTTGTATCGAAACGACCGAACTCCGTCTTAGCTTTACAAAAAGATACCAAATAGCGTGACATAGTCCCTTTAAACAGATCTCAAAATTAATAATGATTAAGTCCAACTCCTGCAAAAAGATTCTAAGGAGGAATTTATTTTACTCAGATGATAAATAATAAAGTGAGGGGCATTGAAGTATGAATATTTTTTAAGCAAAAGGTTCAACAAAAGAACCTTGTCCCTATAAGCAATGAAGTTTGGAGTGCAACTCTTCGAAGCATCCG